GCCCCCTCTATCCCATCCCCCCCACTCTCACTCGCCACCTCCACCAGCGCCACAGCCTCTCGCGGATTTCGCCTTTCGCGGATCTATACAACACTGTCCTCGCCAGGTTCCTGCCCCCCCCCCAGCACCCCGCCCCTTTGACGCTGTCCCTTTGTCCTTCGCCTGTGCAGACCCATCCCTACCACCTTCCGTCCCGCACCTGCTGAAAGACCGAAACTGCCCTCTTCATTGGCCCCCCCAGCAGCCCCAGCCTCTGAGGCCTGGCGAACGCTACCTTCTACATCCCCCCTCATTTCTCCCCCTTCTTTCCCCCCCTACCCCAACACTCCACCGTCATTCTCATTTTATTTTTATTCCTCTAATAAAAGACGCCCGTTTGTTTCTGCTTGCAGGTGAGAACCCCGTCGAACCCCGCCATCGTGAACCCCGTGGAGCAGGCTGTGAGGTTTAAGGTTTGATCACTAGGGGTTTGATTCATTCTGCAACAACATCAACAACAGCTGAGGTACATCACGGTACACCATGGAGCCGATGCATCGGGCTGTAACATCGGAAATTCATCATCCTGTTGGGGATGGTGGTTGGGTGGGGGGTTCTTCTTATCTGGGATGCGCAATCTTCGGCGCCACTGTGAGGCCAGCCAGGCGGACGGGGCGGCGTCCGGGCGCGACTCATTGTTCTGCACCGCAACAAAAGCGTCGGGGGGAGGAAGGGAGGGGGTGGCAATCGGTTCGAATTATCACCGCGATGAGTACGGGAGGGAGGGTGGGGGTGAGCGGGTGCCGCCCGAGGGCCCGAGGGGACCCGCACCGGGGGTGCATTACTGTTACGGATGTGGCCATGGCGATGGGGGTGGCGCCGGCAGGGGACGCGTCCGAGACAGGTCGCGCAGCTCCGGCAGAGCTGTGCAGTGCGCGGTGCGGGACCTCGCCGGTGGTGCGTGCTTACCCCCGGACGCGGTCGCGGGGCGTGGCGGCGCGCGGCGCCGGGTCACCTGCGTAATTTATCGTGCACGTACGTCTGATTTATCGTCGAGGCGCGAATATTGTACGCAAACGGGGGGGTAGGTGCCGGCCGTGAGAGAGAGAGAGAGAGAGAGAGAGAGAGAGAGAGAGGGAGAGAGAGAGAGAGAGAGAGCTATACGACCTATGTCGCCGCGACGCCGCCACCGCCGCCGTGCTGCCGCACCGTCGTCGTGGGGGGGTTAAAAAATTACCTCGTTTCCTTTTCCGCGTGCGTCGCGCCGTGACGGGTGGCCCGGCCGTGCGCGCGGCCCGAGTCATAAAACGGCACAAATACGAGGGCGTAAGTCGAGGCGTAAGTGCAGCCATTCGTCGATCCCTTTCCCCTCCCTCGCCCCCGTCCCGGCCCCCTCCTGTTGGACGCTCGGCGGCGGTCGCAGTTCGCTTTGAGGTGATGTGACGGCTGCTGCGCGGAGCGGCTGGCCCGGCGGCTGGCGCACTACATATTGCCATGCTTGATGCAGGCTGATTGATCTGTGCCGTCACCACCCTGCATCTTGTCTTTTCCCAGGCAGTCTCCGAACGCAATTTTTTTAAAAGAAATATATGTACTTGAAAGATAACAGCCATTACAAATCACTGTTCAGATTTAAGTTGTTCCCCACTCCGTAAAAAAAGTCTTGGGTTGGGGACAACTAAAAAAAATCCAAATTCAAACAGAGGAAAAACAATTAAAGAAAAGAAATGGTGTTCATAACTTTGAAAAATGTTCGTAGCTTGTTCATTTCGAGGGTTGGAGAGTCCCTTGCTCGTAGCACTCTGGGTGCGCGTTCGGCCTTTCATTTGAGGGAGTCCGGCCGGGCGGTTATCAAGACGTCACCCCCCGCCCCGCCCCTTGAGGCGACCACCACCCCTTGCTTGCATAATGCAGGGGGGAGAGAGAGAGAGGGACCCTCCCGCCTGCCGCGGGGCTCGTGGCGTGGCGAGCTGGCAGGCCTGCTATGTTAGGGTCATTAACCTGCACGGCGTCAGCGCGCGCTCGGACCCCCTCGCGGGAGGCGTGTGTGTGTGGAGCGTAGAGCACCCCCTCCCCAACCCTTAGGGAGGAGCTGCAGTGCAGTGCCTTCCCCCCCTCTTTCATAAACTCCCTGCTTTCGAACGGTGAATGAACTATTGGTCATGCATAGAGCAAATTCCTGTTTACTCGAATTTTGCTGCATCAAAAGCTTTTTCGTTTGTTGCAATATGCCCCCGCGCGTATGGTATTAAATCGAGTTGTCGGAACGAGGTCATATTTAATGGACATTGTCGCACATTTTGCGAGCGTGTGGTTTGGGAGGGTGGTAGGGGCGGCCACACAAAGCCATCAGCCACCCATCAGCCCGACCGCCGTATGGGCCTCGGGCCTCGGGGCCTCATCGGTGAGCATCAAGGGCGCCTCATCACCATCACCGGCCAGGTCGTCGTGAAGGCCCCTGCGCCGCTCGGGGCAGGCCGGGCGGGCAGGCCGGGCGGGCAGCCGTCTCTTTTGTGCCCCCCTTGGGGGAGGAGGCTCGGGTCCATGAGATGGCACGGTGGGTCAAACTGTCGAGCCTGCGTGCACCGGTATGGGGGGAGAGGACTAGTGAATTAAGACGGGGCTCCCGAGGACGACGGACGGCTCCGGCTGCTTAATATGCAGTTTAATATGCAGTAGTGCTGTACACACACCCCGAGTGCCCCAGCGGCACACTGACCGGCCGACGGGCCGACCCGGAGGAGCCAGCCTCAGTGAAATGTAATGCGGCATTAGGGCGCGGGAAAAGTTTACCGGCTGCAAACGGCGAATAATAACAATCCAGCGGCCAGGGTCACATTTCCACGGGACTGAAAGAGATTGCGCGCGCTGCCCTACGCTCCGCTGGGGGAGTAATGTTTTGAGTGAGGACAGTTGGTGGTTATTTCCGGCTCTATTGTTTTGTTTTGTTGGTTGTTGGTTTACCGTAATTGTTTTCGCTGCTTTTCCTTTTTCTTTTTTCGTCTCTCGTCTGACCGACAACAGCAACAACAGCAGCAGCAGTAGCAGGAACAACAACAACAATCAACATAAAAACGATTGCGCCCCACGAGCGTCCCTCGCGGTCCGTTTTGCCGGGAAATTAGACATCCATTCATGCGAGTCGGGGCGTGCTCCCCCTGCCCCCTCCTCCCCTCAGCCCTTAGGGATTTACAGTTCTCTTTAAAATGTTCGTGAATCGGATCAAAAATTTATAGGACAACGAATGCAAGCGCTTTATGTCATCTCCTCTTTCTCTCTCTCTCTTTTTTTTAAATAAAAAAAAAATCAAATTGTTGCGGCCTCTGCGGTGAGCTTTCAGTCTATCAGCGTCCATATTGCTTTGGCCGCAGCATATTCTATGTAGGGGGAAAAAGAGAACGGACTATTCGGCAAACAAATATACCTGAAACAAAACGCTCGTCCAGTCCGGAGCTCGTGCTTACAGTCCATTTTGCGTTGTTCTTTTTCTTTTTCGTACGCATAGTGCCTGCTTGCTGTTCGGCTGATATTGCCGACCAAAAATAATACTTTTAAAACAATGTATTAAAAATATAGCGGTGACTGGGGGGAAATAATAAAAATTATGGCATGTGATGCATGCGTGATAAAGTGCATTACGGGCTCGCACAGCTGCCGCTTTATAAATTGGTGTGGCGCCTCACGCTCGCCGCGTGCAGCGCTGCAATATTTGCATCGGTGCGGCGGGGAGAACAGAGAAAGAAATCCGCGCATGCGAAAGTCTCGGGAGGGTGAGCGGGGGAGCTGCAACGCAGAGCAGAGACGCGGGAAAGAGCAGGGAAGTTAATTCGACCAATTAAAGCCAAAAGTGAGAGAGAGAGAGAGAGACGCGCGCGCGCGGTTCGACGAGAAGGCGGCGGCGGCGGCAGCGCTTGGCGAATAAAAGCAGCAGCAAGGCGTGTGGCAGACAACAGCTGCGAATAATGGCGTTAAACGCTGGCAGAGAGGCGGCCGGAGGCGGCGGGATGATTCGCCATTCAGCCCGCGATGGGCGCCGCTAGCCAGAGGACCCGCCAGGACCCGCCAGGACCCGCCAGGGCACGTAACGGAGTTTAGCGACACCCATCAGCGGGCAGGACAGCCGTCGTCGTCCCCTTCCTCTCTACTCCTCGCCGCCTCGACGCGCACCCCCCTAAAGGAGCCTCTTCGATTTATAATTTCATTTTGCCGCCGGTCGGTCCGGGGGAGCGTTCGCAAAGATTTGATTATACAAGGAGCGGCGAAAAAGATGAAGAATAAGAATAATTTATTTTTCGGGGTCTTCTCTCTTTCTCCACCCCCCGCTCTTTGGCAAGCGTCCGCGTGCTCAGCTGTTAGTTTTTTCGGCGAAGTGCCCGGTAGGGGGAAGGGGAGTGGGCTACACCGCTCGCCATGTTTCATTTACAGCGGTCGCTAAAAGCCGGGATAATGACCACGGGTCACATCGTCACACTGCATTAGGTGAGGTGCGATGTAAAACAAAATACCAACTGCAACCGTCATATGTTTCGTGTATTTTTTTTAGACAGTTCCCAAGACTCTCTACCTCGCGGAGAGCGGAGGACAAAGTGCCTCCATGAGTCAGCCTCATGCTCCGCTCATCCGAGTTTCATTTGAATTACAACAACTCGCGGCTTTTTCTCGACTGGGACGCTGGGCACTGGGTCTGGGTCTGGGGCTGGCCCGCTCTTCGGAGCAGGTCCGCGCGGCTTTTTCTCGACTGGGACGCTGGGCACTGGGTCTGGGTCTGGGGCTGGCCCGCTCTTCGGAGCAGGTCCGCGCGGCTTTTTCTCGACTGGGACGCTGGGCACTGGGTCTGGGGCTGGCCCGCTCTTCGGAGCAGGTCCGCGCGGCCTTTTCTCGACTGGGACGCTGGGCACTGGGTCTGGGGCTGGCCCGCTCTTCGGAGCAGGTCCGCGCGGCTTTTTCTCGACTGGGACGCTGGGCACTGGGTCTGGGTCTGGGGCTGGCCCGCTCTTCGGAGCAGGTCCGCGCCGCTGCACCACGATTATGCCGTCCTGGGTGGGCGCGGCCAGTGCGGACGCGGCCTGCGCGCGCGAAATTTGAACAGAAAGAAAAAGAGATAAATTTAAAAAGTATGAGGAGAGAGAGAGAGAGAGAGAGAGAGAAGGAAGGAAGGAAGGAAGGAAGGATCAAATGTTCATTTCAGTTTCACGACATTCAGAAGTTCAGACACTATTCGCGGATAGATTGACAGCTCTTAAATGGGTCTCAAAACAGTCTTCATACTACGTTGACTCACCACCATCGCGACCAGCAGGCTGCAGATGACGATTGTCCGGTTCATGTCGTCGGATGTTGGGCGCCTCTGTTTTGGTCTCTGACCGGCTCTTCGCTCCCTTATATAAGCCAGGACGGCGCCGAGCGCGTCACTTTTGCGCCACGCGTCCCCGAGTCGTGTCGCGGCCGGAATTATCGCCTTGTTTTCGCTTAAACGCCATGAATGAGCGTGCGAAACCTTCTCAGAACAATTATGTATTTAGGCCCATAAACATAAAAGATGCCCTTCCATATGTTTTCAAAATTCCCTGTAGTAATTTCAAGAACACTTTTTTGCCCGCGTGTTCAAAAGGGGGAGGGGGTATTTAAAAAAAAATACTTTGAGCGATTTTTAGGCAGAGTATGAAATAGATTCAGGCTGCAGAGCTGGACGCGCGGTAGGCGCTATGCGGGGCTTTGGAACGAAAAAGTCAGTGAGGGGAAAAGAAAGAGAGAGAGAGAGAGAGAGAGAGAGGG